GGCAATGGTAGAGGGTGGTATAGCTTGGCATGAGTTGACACTAAGTTGCCATAGGAAATATTGTCCAGCATGACGGCTAGAAGGGTATACAGGGGCATGGAGGGCATAAGTGGCATGGGTTAGTATGGATGGGGAGTGTGAGTTCTTTTTTAAATGAAATATGGGACAGTGCTAGTGCAGGGAGCCATGTGGCCAACCAGTGCCATAGCTGGCAGTCCACATGCATATTGAGATCATCCAGCCAATCTTCCAAGAAACCCTACCACGCCAGGATAGAAATCCAAACTGGTTCAGCTTGTGGAGTCAGTAAAAGTCCTGGCTCTGCACTCTTGCCTGGGGACAGTGCTAAAGTCACTTTTTTAAAGTGTATAGAAGGGAAATATGTAAATGTATTGACCTGGATCAAATATTCCATTAGGGTTATGTCGACAAAAAGTAACATGGGCATCCAGAATCATACTTTGTTAATTTATCTTCTTTTACTATCTTGACAGACTACACTGCATAAATCATTCAGCTTATTTAATCATCTAAACTTGTTAAGTGTTACATAGTCTTGTAAACACATTCCTAAGCATTTGTTATTTGCAATAAAATAAAAAGAGAAGTTGATGAAAGATTTGAGGCTGTCTAAATTTCAGTTGACTGTTTTAGTTTTCGTTTCAATTGTGGAGGGACTAGAAGGAAAAATAGGAAATTTAAAAACTCATTTCAAATGTGCTTGCTTCCAATTTACAAAGAGATAGACCTCCTTGTTCATTTAACTCTGTTCCAAACTATATCCCTGTACCAGATTAAAGTAAATACTAATTACTATGATTTAAGAAATAACTAAGGTTCAATGAAAGCTTGTTCATTTCTTATAGGACATTAAGCAATATCTACCAGCATTGGTTTTCAAACAGCTAATCTAGTTCTTTGAACTTTAAGTGTGTTAAGCTTAAATGCAAGTCAAGTTTGTCATTTTTTTTTCTCATAAATCATTCAAATTGTACAGTGATTGACAACACATTCTCAGACTCATTTTTCTTTACCTCGGGCATTCCCCAGGTTCATTTCTTACTGTTACTTCCTTGAATCATCAACCAAATCAACTTTTCTGATAATCCCATACTACCATTATTAACTCCCTTCAGACCATTTTCTCAAAGTGCACAGCAGTGTAGTAGATGAACAATTTGGTCTGGATTTCCGTCTGCATGATGTTTTTGTCATGGGTCAGTTTGCCAATTAACCTGACCCCATTTCTCTGAGTCAGGTCTGTTCATGCAGTGCAGGATCCCAGCAGGATTCATACCACTGCTACCAACATGCACAGTAGTTCTGCAGTTAGACCACTGCCTGCTGACTATTTAAAGGGTGCATGAGTCCTGGAAATTAAGGCATTGGGTTGAAATGGAGGGAAGTTTCAATAGAGCTTGTTCCATCCATTAAAATGATTCTGATGTATCGCCACTGTCAGTCAGCGGTATCATCCTTCACTGACCAATCTCAGGAAGCAGTTGTCAGTAGCAATATTAGCTGAAAAGTCAGGCCCAGGAAGTCATACAAGTAGAATCAAGTTCAGGACAGCAATGTTCTTAGCATATATGTTGCCTTATTTTTATCCCTTTCCCACTACTATTCTACTGTATTATAACTGTGACTGTGAAGGAATATCCAGCGTACTACAACTTCATCTCCAGCATCAATGTCCGAGAGAATAATGTCTGTTTAGTTTCTTTCAAAAACTTTGACTCTTTGATTGCCCTTGCTCAGCAAGAACAGTGTGAGCGGTTAAGAGTAGTCCAAGTTGACTTCTTGGCCTGAGGTTGCTTATTTGTGCTTGGCACCAAGTCACCTTTGCTGATTTATTAGAAGCTGGCAAGGCAAAACCACAGTAGAGATGCCAACTAGACAAGACAGTAAAGGTAAAGTTTATTTTTTAAAACTTCTGTCCAAACTCCTGACAGGCTTGGAGGAATCAGACCTCTCTAGCTCTAACCTGGCATCCACCCACCCTTTATGTTTCTCATTTGTGCCTAAATACTCGAACCTTTGATGACCTCACCCTGAAAGAAAAACTTGTATCTATATGATACTTTTCTTGATCAATAGATATCCCAAAGTACTTTACAGTCAAGAAAGTACTTTAAAGTCTAATGACTGTTGTGCTGTATGCTGTTGGTAGTCCTTCATTAATTAGGTTTGTAATTTTTGACATCTTTTGTCTTTCATAGAATTCCCATATCATTTCCATTGCTGAACTATCTCTAAGAATTTTAGTTTCTCTTCTTATGCCCAACACTTCCACTATATATTACAGACACATTCTTGCCAAAACACGCAAATATTTTGCAATCAAGACTAATATTCTAAGTGATTTGTTCATCATAGAATCCCTACGGTGTGAAAACAGGCCCTTTGGCCCAACAAGTCAACACTGACCCTTGGAGCATCCCACTCAGACCCATCCCCCTATAACCCACCTAAACTACACATTCCTGAACCTACAGGCAATTTAGCATGGCCAATCCACCTACCCTGCACATCTTTGGACTGTGGGAGGAAACCCACACAGACACGGGGAGAATGTGCAAACTCGACACAGACAGTCACCCGAGGGTGGAATCGAACCTGGGTCCCTGGTGCTGTGAGACAGCAGTGCTAATCACTGAGACACCGTGCTGCCCTCTATACTCCTATACTCTCAAAAATATGCAACTTCTTACGACTCAATCTCTCCTTAATTTGTTTTTCTGCTATTTTATTCCTTTTCCTCTACATTGAGAAGGAGTTGGACTCTGCTTGCACGTCCCCTAAATGGTCATTCGAAGGTTGCCTCTAATATTATTGAACAAGCTGTTCAGGAGCAAAAGGGATTTTTCAGGTTATTCTGGTCCTGTTTTGCAAGATCTTTGCACTTTCTGCAGAGATCATGTACTCTAGCTAATTTTTCCTACCCTAACTTGGGCAGCCATACAAAATGTAATTTTGGTTCAGACTAACTAGCTTAGCACAGACAGATTACCTTCCTGCTGTGAATCTCTCTGTGAATCAAAATTATCTGGGCTTTCTTGCTGAGTTCATCAAGGATTCAATTTTAGGCTCTTACAATCCAAGTTTGATATTACATAATTACTTGATTCACTTTTGTTTTCCATTTTACCTTTTTCAAATTTGATGATTTCATGTGCAAGAAACAAAGTCCTTAACTAAATCTCTAAACTAAAGAAAATTAAAACATATTTTACTTACATAATGAATAAGGCAAAGTCCAATAGTTACAAATACTGTTAAATGTTGTAAGTCTCCTTTACAACTATTTTTGCATTTTATCTTGATTGAACTAAATCATAGCTCACAGTCAGAGCTATCAACACCAGGGAGATCAAGGACTATGTTCAAAGTGAATGAGTCAGATGTTTCTACCTTAATTTATTTTTTTGACATATTTCAACATCCAAAATGAGAAAGATTCACTCCACCTGAATGTAGTTTTACAGGCCTGGTCCAGATTCAGGAAAGTTAATTTCTGGATATAGTGTCAGGCAGTAGTTACATGTTAAAGCTCATCTACAGAGATGAATACTTTAAAGATCACTACATCAGGGGACAGAAAGGTAGTTAATCAAGTTTTTGTTTCCACCTTTTCCTTGAATCATCTATAGGAACACTTTCCATCGATTTAAATTTACAAACACATTAGTTACCGAGAGTTGTCACTGACCAGGAGGTTACCTGAAGTAATTCAAATGAATGACAGTATGTACACATATAATTACACAAGACCAGGAACAATGCATCCTCTAACCTGCAAGGGTGTGCCACCATGTAACATGAAGCGACTGACTGCTCACAAGCAATGATTGAATAAACTGACTGCACGCAAGATGCAGACATTCATACATGGTTGCAAGTCAATTTTAAAAAGGATGGACTAGGTAAAAGACTGGTCTTGCAGTGAACAGACATTAGAGGGAACATTGAGCAGAAGCAGGCCAATCAGTAGCGCAATCTTCATTAGCCATGCAATGATACAGAATCATTCGGTACAGAACAGGCTCATTGATTCTGTACTGACAAAAACTGCTCTAAATCTACACTAATCCTGCCTTGCATGTTATGACATTTCAAATGCTCATCCAAGTACTTTTTAAAGTCATAACATTCAAGGCAAATCTGAAACCTAACTGCATAGAAGGGTCCAGATCCAAAACGTCAGCTTTCCATCTCCTCTGATGCTGCCTGGCCCGCTGTGTTCATCCAACTCTACACCTTGTTATCTCAGACTCCAGCATCGGCAGTTCCTACTTTCTCTGCAAACGTCTACCTTTGCCTCATTACCCTTAACATCATTGGTCAACAAAAATCTATCAAACTCCACTTTAAAATAAACCATTGATCCAGCTTCAATTGTCACTTGTAGTAGACAATTCCAAACTTCACCACACTTTTGTATAGAACACTTTCCCTGAAAGTTCTCATAGACCTTAACTTGCCAACAAGTGGCGATATTTTCTCTAAATAAACAGAAATTTCTGGAGAAATTCAAAACTATGGAGAGAAAGCAGAGTTAACACTGAGTCCAGTGAACATTTATCAAAATGCTTTGTTTCAGGTCTCCAGCATCTGCAGTTCTTTGTTTTAATTGTTACAATATTTTCTCTACTTATTCCCCATAACTTGGTTTAAATCACACTTAAATTTGTAAACACCAAGGAAGGCCTTAGTTTATCATCATACAAACGATACTTAATATGAGAGCAGTTCGGATGAGGAGTCATCATGATCTGAAATGTTAAGTCCATTTCTCTTTACAGATGCTGTCAAACCAATTGAGTATTTCCAGAAATTTTTTTTGCTATTATTGTACAATAATCAATGTTTTTCATCAGTCAGTTAGAGAACACTGTCCCCTAGTGGTAGTTGTGCATCATTCCAAATATAATTCTAACTTATTGCTGCATTACAAAAGCTGTACACTATTCAATTTGAAATTTATAGAATTGTACACTTACCAATTGGATTTCTATCAAAGAATAAAATAGGAGCTCTTATTATGCATGCAACCATTCTGTTATGCAACTCCTGTGATGCATTCACCAACACATTGAAAATGACCAAACTTCGGGTAATTCCAAAAAGTATCACAGCTATTGTTAAACCTGGAGGAAAATAAATTTTGGTCAGTTCATCAACTGATTACAACATTAACGATTTATTTAATATGACAACACTGCAACAATTTGCCTTGAATATAACAATGAGAAACTGAATTATAACATTTTAAATTCTTTGTATTTCATGTTCTTAAAGGCAGAATTTAAGTTCAAAAGGCTTCTCAGGATCTTTCATTCAATCATTTTATTGCAAGCATGAATCATACAATTTACCTATTTCAATGTTAAGTTAAAGAAAGCAAAATAAGCGAAAATATAACTACCATTCTCATCTTAGAGGTTAAGAGATTGCAAATTTGAGCCATTTTCAGGACTTAACTCTGTAACTTTGACCAACAGTTCATTAGCATATTGAGGGAGTGCTGTATTGTTCAGGGGTCCAAGTTTATTACAATACATTTCATCTAGAGTTTCCAGTGAACATAATGATCCAGTTTTAAAGAGTACGTTGTTTGTTTAATGTCCTGGTAACATTCCCTCTTGACCAACAATAACTACTTTTGAAGCACAGTCAAAAGTACAATAGAGAAGCAGATTTGGAAATTCATAGAGAACGACGTAAAGCACAAGCTACATGGATCAATATCTTCTATTTTTATATGTGCTACTAAGAACAATTTTTCCAACACTTAATTTTGCTGCTGCTAAAGTGTTACAAAATACAAAATTATTCCTGCAGGTTCACAAAACTTGGAAGCTTAAGTGTCAGGTTTACATGCAGATGCTTTCCCAGAGAAAAGGAAAGGAAAAATTATTCAAAGACAAATGAACCTGTTTTATGCATCGCCAGAGTGATATTGACAGAGCCTGGGAGAAATTCTTACAAATTCTATCATGGAACAGTACTGAATAATTGATTTTTAAACAAAACAGTACCATCTTCTCTATACCTGCATATATTCCCAAGTAAAAGTTAACATCCAGCTGTTGCATTGTGTTATTCTGACTACTTATTTGAGTCGTATTCAGTTGCTCTTGACTTGTTGCCCTGAAAAACACAAAAACAACGCAACATATTACATAAAATATTTCATATGCATTTGTCAGTTGTAGTGTGTGCAGTCTAGTTTGAACTTACTAAGCTAGATTTCAGTCACTAGTGATATAGTGTAGAAATGTAACAATACCATTGCATTATGCAGGAAAACACTTTTCTTTAAAAACATATGCATATGTCAAATATGAACTGTCTGTATACTATTCTGGAAATTATTCTTATTTGTAGGGAATGTCCAGGAGTGTGTTATTTTTCTGGATTGCCCAAAGGTGTGTATTACAATTTAGAGATGATTCAAAAGGCATGAGCAAGTACAAGTCTCCACAATATTTTTTAAATACTGCAGACATAGAATTAAATATGACCATGACGCAACTAAACAAAAAGAGTCTGCAACTGGATGTTCTTTGGCCTGTTTCCTTCACCATTACAATGTTATATTTAAAGTGCTTAATTTTGATCAAGAATTTGTAGATGCTGATGTTTTAAAACTAAAACTTGTTTTTTGTTTACAAAATCAGGTTATATGAAAAAGGGTAGAGCATGCAGAAAGGCCAGAAGATTCATGTTCATTTCTTAATGTAGATGAAACATCTCAGCTCCCACACGCTCCAAGAGTCTCAGTTCAAAAAATTAATTTATGCACTTATTATCTATATTTCTTTGAAAACTAATTCCACGGTATTATGAGTAAAGTCTAAAGCAGCCGGAATAAGAAGGCCACATTTTAGATGGAGTAAGAAATGAAATTGTGTACGGGGCAAAGGGATTTCAGTACAGATACTTTTTTTCAAACTAAAAGTAGTGACCAATGTTAATAAGGCCAACAAAACATACTACAACATTAAGGGAATTAACCTTACCAGTAAGATAGCCACCAATCCTGAAGTACATAAGACACCTACAGCAGAAGAAAGGAAAATTTAGACATCAGGATTGAAAAAGTAAATTATTGGATTTAAATGTTCATCTGATTCAATTTGGTCTCCAACGAATGCAGAAGGTAGCAATCTTGCACAACACAAATGAAATTTCTCCATCTGCCAACATTATGTCACATTGTGATTATCTAGTTTAAAATAGAAAGCTGCCAACGTATGTACAAAGGCAAATGGTATAGTGTCAGGCAGACATACAAGGCCACCAAAAATAAAATTTGCAAAATGTAAAACTACCAGAAAAAAGATCAAGCTCACCCATTAATAATTGCCCACACAATAATTACAAGACAATAATTAGTATTTATTGGTAAAAAGCTTAAATAATAATTTTGGTCATCATTATCAATTCTACCTGTCTCGGTTATCGTAATTTTGAGCATCATTATCAATTCTCCCTTCAATCCCTCTTGTTTCAGGAACAATCCTACTATTGCTGATCTAACCATGAAGCTCAGCAAAGCTGAATTTGAAAAAGTGCTCAAGATGTACACAACATTGAGATCAGCATTCCTAGCACATATTGGTTGAGAGAAGGGCGGGACCGGCAGCTCAATGTTCTAAGGTTTAGATGTTTCAGGTGTGACAGAGAGGGGTGGGGAGTTGCATTACTGATCAAGGAAAATTTCACAGCTGTATAGCACACAGAGAGGATGTCTGGGTTTAGCTCATTCAGCGAGGCCATATGGTTATAACTTACGAATAAGAAAGGTGCAAAGACTCTGATGGGGTTATGTGATAGGTCTCCTAATATCCTGCAGGCGATAAAGTAATCAGATCATGGAGAGATGCAACAACAACAGGGTTGTTGTAGTGGGTGATTTTAACTTCCCTAATATTGAGTGCAACTCCCCGAGTGTCAGGGGCTTAGATAGGGCAGAATTTGTTTTGTGATTCCAGGAGGATTTCTTTAAACGACATGTAGATAGTCCATCAAGGGAACAAACCATACTAGACCTTGTACAGGGGAATGAGCCTGACTAGGCGGTCAAAGTTTCAATGGGGAGCATTTTGGGAACAGTGATCATAATTCCATAAGTTTTAAATAGCCATGGTTAAGAAAAAGACTGGCCCTTGGGTGAAAGTGCTAAATTGGTTTGAAGGCAATTTAATACAGTGCTAGGGCAGGAACTGGATAAATTAGATTGGAGCCAGCTGTTTGAGGGTAAACACACAGCTGATATGTGAGAGTCATTTAAAGGACCAGCATGTTCCTATTAGGATGAAAGACAGGATTGTAAGATTCGGGAACCTCAGATGACAAGAGATATTGAAAGATTGGTCAAAAAGGAAAAGGCAGCAAATGATAGGTTTAGGAAACTAAAATCAATTTGGCCATTAAAGAGTTTAAAGGAAGCAGAAAAGAACTTAAAACAAGAAACTAGGAGGGCTGGAAGAGGCCATGAAATATCCTTGTCAAGGAGGATTAATAAAAATCTGAAGGCATTTTATATGTACATCAGGAGCAAGAGGGTAGCTAGGGAAAGGGCAAATTCACTCACGGATAAAGGAGGGAATTTATGCGAGAAGCCAGAGGAACGGGATGAGGTCCTTAATTAGTACTTTGCATCGGTATTCATCGAGGACATTGATGATAGGGAAGGGTATTGCATTATTCTGGGGCATGTTAATATTAATGTGCTGGCGGTGTCGGGTGTCTTGAAATACAGTAAGGTAGTAAGTCTTGATGAGATCTATCCCAGGATACTGAAGGAAGGAGATTGGTGGGGCCTTGACAGACATATTTGCACTTTCCTCTTTAGCCACAAAGTCCCAGAACACTGGAGAATAGCCAATGTTGTTCTTTTGTTTAAGAAGGGCAACAGGGATGATCCAGGAAATTATAGGCCGATAGCCTAACAACATTGTAAGGGAAACTATCGGATATTCTTAGCGATAATAAGAAATATAATAAGAATAAGAAATAAAAACAAAGAAATTCTTAGGGACAGGATTTACTCACATTTGGAGAAGAATGGACCTATGAGGGCTAGGCAGCACCACTTTATATGGGGGTGGTCTTGTCTCATAAACGTAGTTCAGCTTTTTGAGAAAGTAACAAAGATGTTTGATGAGGGTAGGGCATGTTGTTTACATGGACTTTACTAAAGCATTTAACAAGGTCCCTCATGGTAGGCTGGTCCAGGCGATTTAGTTGCATGGCATTCATGGTGAATTGGCACATTAATGCAAAATTGGCCTGGTCATCAAAGACAGGATAGCTCTGGAGGGCTGTTTTTCCGACTGGTGGTCTACGACCAGTGGTGTTCTGCAAGGACGAGTGCTCGGATCTCGGTTGTTTGTAATATATATATAAATGATATGGATAAATATGTAGGTGGTCTGACTTTAAGTTTGCAGATGACACAAAAATTGGAGGAGTTCTGGATAATGAGGAAGGTTATCAAAGGATAAAGCAGGATATAGATCACTTTAGAGACTTGAGCGGCGAAATGCCAAATGAAGTTTAATCTGGAATTGTGTGAGGTGGTGCATTTTGAGATGTCAAACACAAGAGGAAAGTATACAGTAAATGGCAATGTCCTGAAGAGCACTTATATATATAGGGATCGTGAGGTGCAAGTCCATAGCTCCCTGAAAGTAGCAACACAAGTAGGTAGAGAGATAAAGACGACGAATGGGCATGCTTATCTTCATCAGTCAGGGCACTGAGTATAAAAGTTGGCAAGTCAAGTTGAAGCTGCATAAAAGTTTAGTCAAGCCACATTTGGAGTAGCACATGCAGTTCTGGTCACTTCACTACAGGAAGGACGTGGAGGTTTTAGACGGGGTGCAAAAGAGTTCTACCGGAATGTTGCCTGGATTGAAGTGTATCAGATATAAGGAGAGGTTGATTTGATATATTATTGTCACATGTATGGAGATACAACACGTAGTATTATATTGTGTGCTAACCAGACAAACCATACCTTACACAAGTACATCAGGGTAATAGAACTGAATGCAGAATATAGTGTTACAAGTATACAAGATCAACTCTAATATATGAAAGGTCCATTCATAAGTCGGATAACAGTGGGAAAAGTCTATTCTTAAATCTGTTGGCACATGTTTTCAAACTTTTGTTTGGGTGTGTGTGTGTGTGTGTGTGTGTGGTCTTTGGTTATGTTGGCTGCTTTCCTGACACAGCGAGAAGTGTAGATCAAGTCAATGGAAGGAAGGCTGGTTTTCAGGATGGACTGCATTGTTTTCATTACAGCATTGGAGGTTGAGGGTCATCCTAATAGAGGTATATAAAATTATGAGAGGCACGATAGGTTGGATAGTTGTAGTCTTTTACCCAGGGTGGAAATGTCAAATACTAGGGGAAATAGGTTTAAGGTGAGAGGAGAAAGTTTTTTTTAAGAAACACAGAGGGTGGTAGGTGCCTGGAAGAGACTGCCAGGAGAGGTGGTAGAATCAGAGACAATAGTAATGTTTAAGAGGCACTTGGACACGTGAAGGACAGGAAATAGAGGGATACAGACCTTAGTTTAGAATAGCACCATGCTCAGCATAGACAAAATAGGTCGAAGGGTCTGTTTCTGTGCTGTACTATTCTGAGGTCTTTATTTAGGATCATTATTCTGATTCAGCTAACTTATACAAGTCAGAGATAACAAGGTGTAGAGCTGGATGAACACAGCAGCCAAGCAGCATCAGAGGAGCAGGAAAGCTGACATTTCAGGTCTGGACCCTTCTTCAGAAATCTCAGATTCTCCAGCATCGGCAGTTCCTACTATCTCTTATACAAGTCAGAGTTGGGATAAGACGGGCATTTTTAGGAAGGCAACCTGTAACTAGTGGAGTGCCCATTGGAATTTAGAAGAATGAGGAGTGACCTTATTGGAACAAACAAGATTTTTGGGCAACTTAACCGGGTAGATGTGAAAAGGCCCTTTCTCTTTGTGGGAGAGTCTAGGACCAGAGGGCATAATCTCAGAATCAGGGAGTACACATCTAAGACAGAGATAAGCAGGACTTTCTTCTCTCAGAGGATAGCAAATCTGCGGAATTCTTTACCGCAGACAGCCATTGAGGCTGGGTGATTAAGTGTATTTGAAGCTGAGATGAACAGGTTTTTAATCAATAAGGAAATCGAGGGTTGTGTGGAGAAGGCAGAAAAATAGAGTTGAAAATTATCAGATCAGCTACAACTCATTGAATTCTGGAGTAGACTTGAGGGGTTGAGTGGTCTATTTCTCCTTGCACGTCATAAGGTCTTTTCCTCTCCCTTCTTCAGCATAAGAGTTATATTTGCTACCTTCCAATTCATGGGGACCATTCTAGAATCAATAGGATTATGGAAAACCAAAACAAATACATCCATTTTGTCAGCAATTACCTCTTTTAAAATGCTAGACTCGAGATGTTTGATACAGTGCCATGCAACAGGCTTGAGAGCAAAATTACGGTTCTTGGGAAAAAAATGGCAGTAGCAACATGAATACAGAATTGGCTGAGTGACAGGAAACAGAGTCATAGTTAATGGATATATTTTGGGCAGGAAGAAGATCTGCAATGGATTTTCGAAGGGTTTAGTGTTGGGACCCTTGTCTTTCGTGATGTATGAACATGACTTAGACATTGGTTTACAAGGACAATTCTAAGATAGTCAATAGTCAGGGGAGTAAATCAGCCAGCGGCATTGACTTTCGTTAGTTATATATTCCTGCTCAGGCAGAAATGATGTCTCAATTTTCCTTGAGACTGACAGTGAACAACCTATTTGAACTACAGCAGTCTTTCTGGTGAAGGCATGTTGTTAGGTTGGGAGCAGCAGGATTTTTACCCAGCAATAACAAAGGAATGATGTAATATTACAGTGTTAGGGACAGTATGCAACATACAGATGTGACATTAATATATGACAGTAGTATTCATCTGCTAATACTGTCAGAGCTCATGGGAAAGAGTTGACAAAGAAGTGCATCCTGGAGCATGTACATAATGTACCGGTGGTGGGGGGAATGAAGTTGACAGATGGGGTTCCAATTGAGTAAATTGTTTCATAGTGAATCATGTCAAATTTCTGGATTGTTGTCCTAGCTCCACTCATTCAGGAAAGTTAAGAGTCAATCACACTTTTCAATTGTGCCTGTTAACCGGTGGAAATACATTAGGACATCATGAGCAGAGTCACCCACCATGGAACACCAAGACAATGATCTGCTCTGACAGGAACACCTTTTGAATGGTTAGTCTCTGGTATTCTCAAGATTCTGTAGACAGTTGACTTGAATATAGTAGTGACATTGAATAACAAAGGGAGGTGGTTTGGTCTTGTCTTGAAAATGGCCAGTTCCTGGTGCATTGTGCAGATATTGCTCCATTTGGGAATGGAATGTTTCTTTAACTGAGGAATTACAAATGCATCTGAACATTCTGCAATCATTAGTATGGACGGTGCTACCCTTCTGATGGAAGTAAAGTTTTTGACGGAGCAGCCGTGCCTAGGATACTGCCTTGGTTAGCTCCGGCACTGATGTCTTGAGAATGAGATACAATCGTTGGAAGTCATGTATCAATCTTCCTTTACGCCAGGTGTGACATCAGCTATAGGAGAGTTTCTGCCATGATCCTTTTTCATTTTAATTTTCCAATGCCGCAGACTTTTTCCCAAAATATGCAAAGCAAAGGTATCAAGGGTTATGGGCCAAAGGCACAAGGATATGGAGTGAGGCCACAGATCAATCACGTTCTCATTGAATGGTGAAACAGGCACAAGGGAATGAATGTCTACTCCTGTTCCTACGTTCTTAAGTAACTTAAAATCACATAAGTCTAATAACAAAATCAAGCAAATCACAGATATAAAGAAGTGTATTGCCAGCATACAGAAGGAAACAGATTCACATTACCCATCATTAATAACAGTTCGTTGATGAGTAGCCAAAGATTGATCTTTATGCAATTCCGGGGGTGCATAAAAGAAAGTTCTTAAATCACAGCAGCTACCTGTCCATTATTTTTCAAAAGAACTGATTGCTCAAAGCATAAGAAAAATATGACTCATACATTTCAGATGAAGTCATTTCTTAAATTCATTTTCAATATCTATAATGACTACATAGTCACTTACTTGTGTCACCAAATTGAGAATGATGGCAACCATCAGTATAAAACCATTAGCACCTGCTAGAAAATACTTCTTGTAAATGTTAAAGCCAATTGATCCTTCAGAGCGACTCTCCTCTGGTGTTGCCGAGAGTACAGACTCCCCCTGTCAGACAAACAAGTCGTATAACTTGTGAACCACAAATTACAATTTTCAGATCCTCACAATGTCTGTGAACTATAAAGTCAGAGAACACTAAAGCAAAATAAAGGGTCTTTCAGCCTATTGAGGGAGTCTGTGTTGGTCATAAACAACCACATAATTATTCTAATCTCATTTCCCAGCAATTGGCACATAATCCTGTATGTCTTAGCATTGCAAATGCAGATCCAAATACTTCTTAAATTTTGAGGATTTATCCCTCTAAAATCCTTACCGACAGTGAGTTCCAGATATCCACCACCTTCTGGGTGAAAAAGGTTTTCTTCACATCCCCTCTAAACCTCTGCGCCCTTTCCTGAAATCCGTACCCTTGGTCATTGATTCCTCCACCAAAGGAAAATATTTCTTCCTGGCTACCCTATCTGTGCCCCTCATATAATTTTATATAACTCAATCATGTCCCCTCTCAATCTCCTCTCCTCTTAGAAGAGCAACCCAAGTCTCAGGGGTGGCATGGTGGCTGTTTTTGGCACCACTGGTTCACTGCGCCAGGGACTCAATTCCAATCATGGCAAGTTGCCTGTGTGGAGTTTACATATTTTCCCAGTGTCTGTGTAGGTTTCCATTGGTTACTCTAGTTACCTCCCAAAAACGTGCAAACTAGGTGGATTAGCCTTGCTAAAATGTGGGGTTATGTGGATAGGGTAAGGGGCTGGGCCTGGGTGGGATGCTCTTTGGAGGATAGGTGCAAACTCGAGTCCAATATCCTTACTGTTCAGGAAGTTTTAAACTAATTTGGCAGTGGAGTAAAGTGGTAATAAGATCAGGAGTAAGGTTCAAGTAGATATAAAAGGAATACTAGGACAGTCCTGCAGGGTGAGGAGACATGGGGAAAATAAGGTTCATGGGAGAACCAGAAAGCTAAATTGTATCCATTTTAATGCAAGGAGCCTGACTGGTAAGGCAGATAAACTTACAGCGTTGATCAGCATGTGGGAATGTGATATTGTTGCAATCATTGAGACATGGTTGAAGGAACAGCAGGACTAGCAGCTCAACAATCCAGGTTATAGAAGTTTCAGACATGATAGAGGGAAGCTGTAAGAGAGAGATGGGGACATTACATTATTGATAAAGGCGACTGTCACTGTCGTAATGAGACAGGATGTTTTAGAAGGCTCCACAAATGAGGCCATCTGCATAGAGCTTAGAAATAAAAAAAGCAGCTATCGTTTTGCCAGCATTACACCGCAGGGGCTTCATAACAATCAGAGGGAGATAGAGGAGCAGATATGAGGCAAACCAAAAAGGTGTGAGAGGAACAAGGTTATAGTAGGAGTGGATTTTAATTTTACTAACAGTAATTAGGATTGCCATAGTACGAAGGGATTAGACAGGAATGAATTTTTAGATTGCATCCAGGAGTTGGACAGGTTGTACTTGTTCCAGTACATAGGTAGTTCTAGAGAGATAGGACAGTGTTAGACCTAATCATAGGGAATTAAGCCAAGGGTAATGACCAGAACTCTAAGTTTCAAAGTCATTATGGAAAAGGATAAGGTTAGTGCAGAGGTTAAATGTCTAAACTGAGTGAAGGCCAATTTCAAAATCATTAGACAGGATGTGATAAACCTAGATTGGGAGCAACTACTTGCAGGTAAGTCCATATTTAGAAAGTGGGAGTCTTTGAAAAGTAGTATGAAGATAGTTCAGGGACGGCACCTTTCTCCAAGGGTGAAAGGGAAGGACAGCAAAACCATGGAGCCCTGGATATCAAGGGATATTGAGAGTTTGATAAAGAAAAGGAAGGACGCCTACGCTATATACAGAGAATTAAAAACAGGGGAAGCCCTTTAGGTGTATAGAGAGTATAGGGGAATGCTTAAAAATGAAAGTAGGATGGCAAAGAGAGGTCATGAAACATCTTTGGCAGACAGGATCAAAGAAAACTCCCAAGGCATTTTACAAGTACATTAAGAGCAAAAGTATTATCAGGAAAGTGGGAGGCCTATTAAAGACTAAAGGGGCAACCAGCACATGGAGCCGGTGGATATGGGTGAGGTTTTAAAGAAAGACATTGTAGTTGGACATTTGTGTCAGGGTGGAGAGGTTCAAGAGCATGTTAAGATCAATAAGGAGGTGGTATTACGTGATTAGTAGGCATAGAAGTTCATAAATCCCTAGACCCTAATGAGACGTACCCCAGGTTGCTATGGGATGCAAAGGAGGAGATTGCTGAGGCCCTGGCAGAGATATTTAATACTTCACTGGTCATAGGTGAAGTGCCAGATGACTGGAGGATAACTAATGAGGTTCCTTTGCTCAAGAAGGGTAGTGGGGATAGATCAGGTAATTAAAGATAAGTTAGTCTAACATCAGTGGTAAGGAAATTATTGGAAAAACATCTGAGGGACAGGTTTAACCAATACTTGGAAAAGCAGAGATTGATCAGGGATCATCAGCAAGAATTTGGCAGATGGAGATCCTGTCTGACTAACTTAATTGATGAGGGTAGTGAAGTTGCATGAAGTTCACATGGACTTCAGTAAAGTGCTTGACAAGGTCCCACATGGAAGGCCAGTCCAAAAGATAAGATCCCATGGGAATGAAGGAAAGTTGGCAAACTGCATCCAAAATTGGCTTGGTGGCAAAGAGTGATGGAGGAGGGTTGGTCTTGTGATTGGAAGCCTGTGACCAGTGGTGTACAGGAATCTGTGCTGGGACCCTTGATGTTTGTCTTTTACATTATAGACGTGGAAGTGAACGTAGAAATTAAAATTATTATGATTGTAGATGACATGAAAATTAGTGGTGTTGTCAATAGCAAGGAGGATGGTCTCAGGCTACAGTCTGATATTGATTGGTTGGATAAATTGGGCAGGACAAAGGTAGATGAAATTTAATCCTGATAAGTGCTACATTTTGGGAGGTCCAATAGGGTAGGATTTACACAATGAATGGTAGGTTGCTAAGAAGTACTGAAGAAAAAAGGGACCTTGGCGTACAAGTTCATGGATTCGTGAAGGCTTCAGCACAGGTAAACATGGTGGAAAATAAGGCAGACAGGATGTTTGTCTTCATTATCCGGGGTATACAGTATAGTAACAAGGAAATACTGTTACAACTTTATACAACATTGGTTAGCCCACAGCTGGAAATACTGTGCACAGAAATAGCAAGAACTGTAGATGCTGGAGTCAGAGATAACACCACATGGAGCTAGAAGAACACAGCAGGCCAGGCAGCATCAAAGGAGCAGGAAAGTTTATGTTTTGGTCGGGATCCTTCTTCAGAAATGGGGAGGGGGAAGGGAGCTCAGAAATAAATAGAAGGTGAGGGGGGAGGTGTAGGGGCAGTTACAGCACTTCCTGCAGCATATCACCCCACCGACCTCCACATCCAATGTATCATTCTCCACCACTTCCAACACCTCCAATCTGACCCCACAACCAAAGAGATATTTCCCTCCTCACCCAATCTGCCTTTTGTAGGGACTGCTCTCTCCACGACTCCCTTGTCCGCTCCACACTCCCCACTAAACCCACCACCCCGGCATCTTTGATAACAAGGTGTAGAGCTGGATGAACACAGCAGGCCAAGCAGCATGAGAAGCAGGAAGGCTGACGTTTCGGGCCTAGACCCTTCTTTCTGAAGAAGGGTCTAGG